AGATCTTAATTACGTCGAGAAGTTTTCCGGGATGATAAAACGAGACTCGACGACGTTAATTCAACAAACGACCCCTCCATGTTGTTTCAAGCCACCCGTTGGTTTGCTCACCCATTTCATTTCCGATATAGCGTTTGACGATTTCAAGATGAATATTTAACCAAACATAACCTAAAAATCAATCATCTTCCGAAGTACTTTACTTTCTTCTTTTAAAGAAACTAGAAATTTCTTTGGTTTTCAGTTTTCTAGAAATGCGTGTAGTATCTGGCCTAAGGATTGCGAATTGCCAGGAAGAAAAACACATTTAACCAAACATAACCTAAAAATCGATCATCTTCCGAAGTACTTTTCTTTCTTCTTTTAAAGAAACTAGAAATTTCTTTGGTTTTCAGTTTTCTAGAAATGCGTGTAGTATCTGGCCTAAGGATTGCGAATTGCCAGGAAGAAAAACACATTTAACCAAACATAACCTAAAAATCGATCATCTTGCAAAGTATTTTTCTTTCTTCCTCTAAAGAAACTAGAAGTTTCTTTGGTTTTCAGTTTTCTAGATAGGCGTGTAGTATCTGGCCTAAGGATTGCGAATTGCCAGGAAGAAAAACACATTTAACCAAACATAACCTAAAAATCGATCATCTTCCAAAGTATTTTTCTTTCTTCCTTTAAAGAAACTAGAAGTTTCTTTGGTTTTCAGTTTTCTAGATAGGCGTGTAGTATCTGGCCTAAGGATTGCGAATTGCCAGGAAGAAAAACACATTTAACCAAACATAACCTAAAAATCGATCATCTTCCGAAGTACTTTTCTTTCTTCTTTTAAAGAAACTAGAAATTTCTTTGGTTTTCAGTTTTCTAGATATGCGTGTAGTATCTGGCCTAAGGATTGCGAATTGCCAGGAAGAAAAACACATTTAACCAAACATAACCTAAAAATCGATCATCTTGCAAAGTATTTTTCTTTCTTTCTTTAAAGAAACTAGAAATTTCTTTTTGGTTTTCAGTTTTCTAGATAGGCGTGTAGTATCTGGCCTAAGGGTTGTGAATTGCTACGAGGAAAATCAATCGATATCAGAAAATTATAGGTTATAACAATGGATAACTGTCTTTAATAACCTTGGATGGAAGGTTTAATTTTTAATTCGTGTTATTAATATCGGCAGGTGCGTGTAGCAAGTAGAATTGAATTATGTAATCTCGTAGCTGGTAGCATTTTACATAAATATAATTATTTATATCGTTAATGCTATAATAGGCTGGGAAATGAAAAATTGAGTAATCTACGGAAGCAACCTACTCTTACCCTGTACCAACGGCCCCAGTTAAAGATTAATAATTCATTCATTTAAAGATCGCCAGGTTTACAGGTGCATAATTAAAATCATATTAGGTCCGGATGATCATATATTCATGTGGAAAGACCACGAGGCACGTAGATTCCGCTGTATTCATTTTTTAACGCTGCATCCTACGTGAAGACCTAAACAACCAATTGAAACTAACTTATTCAAAATTGGAGGGAAAATAATGACTCTAGGCAAAAATAAATTGTACCGAATGTAGAAATACTTTGCCTAGAAATTACAAAATGCCAAACTGCCAAAATGATCGTAGGAATAACTCTGATCGATTGTAATTGCAATTTGATCTGAATCGAAAGGAGGAGCTCCGTTATTAAATGACCAAATTATATTCGCTGTTGACGACAAGTGGCTGTTTCGTCGACCATGTAAATATTTATTGCTATTATTGGTAATTTAATACAGGCACCGATAACAAAACCGCCTAGTCCATGTTCAGTTGATCCAGATTCATTTCGAATTAGGTCATGTGTTTATAATTAATTTTGTTCCGAATTACAAAGCTTTGCAATTTACTTTATGCTTACTTAAATAAAGCGGATAAATCGGTCACATAATTATTCCATCGAAATTATAGATTCCCAATCAATCACTATCGTGTTTATGGTTATGCTTGTTCGAACAAAATTTTGGTTACGTACATATAGCTGGTTAAACGCATTTCAAATTATTAATCGTCAGCCTGGAAACGATCTTCGATATCTCAGACGGCTTTTTCAAAAAATTCCAAATTCGCCTTCGAGGGATAAACCGCGCAAGATTTTTGCTGTTCGATTGGGAAAAAAACGTTCTTCCCTTGATTCGAGCATTTCGCAGAAAGATTTCGACGAAAGAGAATCGTTAGCAGCAGGATCGATAAAGCCCGGGATAAGACACGTTGAAAGGAGCAGAAGTGAATAGATGGGGCTTCCATGGCTGATTAGGTAATAGAAATTTAATACGACTCGGACGTCGTTCGTCCTTCGCCTTCCAGCGTGCATTGATTTCAACTGATACATTGGAAAGCTTTCAGCTGCCTCTGCCATCCCACTTTGTCTACCACACAGTCAGATACTTCTACTGTCACCACTAACACGGAGACAAAATTATTCACGAGTCTCTGGATTTACTATTTACTGGATGGTCAAAAAATTCCAATGACGCGAAGTCCAGTCCAATTTTTGAGCTCCCAGCTTTCCATAAACAAATACAACGTGATACAAACAAGTTTTAATAGCTTTTCGTAACACAAAAGGATTGGTACCAAAATCGATTACGAGCAAAAATGTTAAGCAGCTGAGAGATCCCGTCGATTGAACGCAGCAAAGCGAGTTTGGACGACGCGCTAAAAATGGTCAGAAACAAATTAAAGTGACAGTGGAAAATGGAACGAAGCGAAAGAGCACCTGCTCTCGCTACAAACCCCAACAACGGCTTCTTCAAAAATCGCGCGACAGACACCGAACGGTCCAGGACTACTGTAACGTAATCGCATGGTTCAGCGACTCGACTGATGTAAACTCGGCTTTAGGTTCGAGAATAGAACGAAGACGAGAGGTTTCGGAAACAAATTTTCGCTTTTTCTCCGTGGCTAATGGAAACTTCATTTCTGGAAGCGCCACGTGTTAACAGAGTCGATTAACTGATCGTAAGGAGGAGTAACACCTACGGGGACCCATGTCAAGAAAACGCGACGTTAGGCGAACTTCCGAAAACCAAGATGAACCAAACACGTGTAAACTGTCTTGTCTCGTGAAAGTTCACGACCATCTGTCCATTAGCCTGACAACTTGCAGTCACGTTTCAACAAGGCGCACACGATAACTCCATTTAACTAGAAGAGTTGGCACGGTTTCCCATGAAATAATTTTCTGTCTTCGCGTGATACGGTGTTCGAGAGGCAGCAGCACGCAGCTTATGAAAGTTCACCTTGAACATTCCCCTGGCGAAGTGAAAACAAACTGGAGCGTCGAAGAAACAAGCAACAACAGAAAGTGTTGTTCCTCTTCTCCACGGGGGCTCGAAACAAATGTAATACATTTAAGAATTTTATTACTCTGCCTCCTCTGTCTTTGCTACCCCTCGCACGTCTTTCTTATCTTTCACATATTTTCTCTTTCTTTCTTTTTTTTATCTCTTTCGTCTCTCCTGAAAGACAAACTGGTATCTCACGCACCCTGGACCTAGCACCTCTACCATGTCTCAGAGATTGGAAAGCTTGGAAACTGAGATCTCCTCTTCCCTGGATTTAAGAGGAGATTTAAATTCCTTATACGATACTCTTCGACTGCAATTCTTTTCTCTCAACTATGATCTGCTGCTGGAAATCCAGATGGTTTCTTATCAATTTTTTGGGACTCGGTGTGTTCAGTTGGCGATTGGACTCTTTAGAAATTGTCTTTGCCCGAGAAGAATCGGAAATTTCCATGTTTCAATTTTCTCTCCTCTTTTCTATGTTCAATAGTTTGCACTCCAAGTTTGTATTATTCGTTAATTAAAATATCAAATAAATTAAAATTTTTAATGACAAAATCCGCAGTCACTTAGTTGCCAATCCAATAATTACTATCACATATTTGTATTGTTGATCTTCATCGAGGTCCACTTGGAACGTAGTATTTTCATCTAATGAAATGAAATTTAATTTGTCGACGAGCAGTATAACAGACTGTAGACAGTCATCTACCATACACAATCACAATTATCGAGGTTGACTGACAGAGGAACGAGTGGATGAATTAATAATAGAAAAATATATCGAAATAAGTATAGGTATAAGTATAATTACAGGTATAGTGTATGCTGATCCAAAACAGTGTTGCAATACAATAGAAGAAGATTGATTGGGAGCACGTTCATATATTTATAGCAAAGGACATTACTAAAAAGTTAACATTGTAGCTGTAGCTGAAGGCTACAAGAAACGGTAATAGAAATCTATTATAGCTCTTTTCTTTCTAGACCTTGTAACCCAAAACAAAATTTATATTCAAAGGTACAATAATATAGACCTCTCCTTATTTTCAATTTTTTTTCATTAAATTCTATTCTCTTTGTAACAAGGGTCTCCAGGTCATAGATATATAATAGAAAAAGGGCGTAGAGTTTTTCTTAAAGTAATTACTTCAACAACCATATATTCCAATTATAAAGCGATGGATTAACAAATAAATTAGCAGAATCAATTGGATGACGTAACAGGCTAACCCCACCAACTAGAAACCCACCTCTGCATATGAATATAACTCTTCAACATAAATGAGATTCAATCTATGCATCTCTCTTCCTTATGTAAATAACAAAAATTTACCAATTACTAAATTACTAAAATAATACAAACACTTATGCAAATTAACAAAATAGAAGACTCAAATACTTTAAACCATCCTATCATTCATCAACAGCATCGCGTCCTAATTCAACATTCTTCCTAATTCCAGAACAAATTTCCACATGGACATAACTTTTTAACACAAATAAGATTCAGTTTACGCGTGGTCTTCTCCATGTGGTCTTAAGTTATGGAAGATCCAAAGGTGTTAGACCCTTCTAGCCCCCCATTGCTTCAACCATTCTTCATCCAAAGCATCGTGTTCATCATCCCCAATCCCATCATGTTCATCGTCCACAAACGGTAATTCAGTGGAACGATTTGATTTACAGGGCGAGGTGGCTACCAGATCTGTAACCGGGTCCGTGAGAAGCACGCGAAGATGGGCCAGCTTGCGACAGCACGTAAGCAACAGCGAAGGTGGCAAGCCGAAGGTGGAGCTGTTGCTCGATCCCCCGGGATCCAAGTCCTCGACACCATCTTCTCAACCGCATACACCCAACACTCCTCGAACTCCTCATACACCGCTGAGGAAATCCAACTGGGAAGTGATCGAGCACTTCACTGGCGCGCCACGTCCCTCCATCGTCACGGTGAGCCCTTGTACAACTGGAATTATACCTAAAAAGGTAGCCTAACAGGTTCAACGAGAAGTTCTTCGGTGACACATGTTGCTGTTATGACACATGTTTCCTTTCTCGTTTTTTTTGTGTGTGTGTGTGTATTTCTGAACAATTTAACTGGTACGTTCTAGCTATGTTTCAAGTGAGACCTAAGATAGTAAACAAAGTTTTTTTTTTTTTGTTATGGAAAGTAGAGATTCTTCCGTATAGAAAATGTTAAGTCGGAAGATGCTGCTTCTATCTGAAATGAATTCTTTCGTTCCTAACGTCGATAATAATAGAACAGACCCGAGTGCAATCGATCAGTCAGAGCGCGTTGTTCAGAATATGCTTGAAATCTGAAAGATTAGAAATGTGTCATCCGATAATCGTAGTGCGAGTTGGAATCTAAAGAAATTTCTATCTAAAGGAAGAAGACCAGTATTTTATAAATAAAAATTCGACGTTACTCTTTCAACGGCTCAATATAAATACATACAGTTTGATATAACTTAGCATAGTTCGTCTTCCTATTGCCCTGCATTCTCATTGATCCATGTACATATGCATGTGCATTTACATATACACTCACACACTCAACCTTATTTAATCCCCATTTTCTATCTCAAACCTAATCCAATCTACATCTATATCACCTGTATAGATGTATTAGCCTTGGACTGAGTCTTTGATTAAGGGATTTGAATATACAGATTCCACAAAGTTTCATAATTAGAAACACTATCTGGTTGTTAACTATTATATGTATCATTATACTAACTATTATATATATCTTTTCCTTTTTTTATATATTGTTGAGATTGACTGATAGAGGAACAAGTGAATGAATTTGTAATAGAAAAATATACTGAAACAAGTACAGGTATAAGTACAGGTATAAGTATAACTTGTATAGGTGTTAGCCTTGGACTGAGTCTTTGATTAAGGGATTTGAATATACAGATTCCACAAAGTTTCATAATTAGAAACACTAGCTGGTCGTTAACTATTATATGTATCATTATACTAACTATTACATATATCTTTTCCTTTTTTTACATATTGTTGAGATTGACTGATAGAGGAACAAGTGAATGAATTTGTAATAGAAAAATATACTGAAACAAGTACAGGTATAAGTACAGGTATAAGTATAACTTGTATAGGTGTTAGCCTTGGACTGAGTCTTTGATTAAGGGATTTGAATATACAGATTCCACAAAGTTTCATAATTAGAAACACTATCTAGTTGTTAACTATTATATGTATCATTATACTAACTATTACATATATCTTTTCCTTTTTTTACATATTGTTGAGATTGACTGATAGAGGAACAAGTGAATGAATTTGTAATAGAAAAATATACTGAAACAAGTACAGGTATAAGTATAACTTGTATAGATGTTAGCCTTGGACTGGGTCTTTGATTAAGGGATTTGAATATACAGATTGCGCAAAATTTCATAATTAGAAATACTATCTGACTGTTAACTCCTTGGCTGATAACCACGAGTCTGACTCATGGTAAAGAATTTTTGTGCCATAAGCGAGAACCACAAGTTTAAAAACACTATTTGTCCTCAAACGTTGTTTATTATTTCACAATTCCTTTTGTAGTCCCTAAATATACATGTCATAAGAAGTATACATCTTTTACCAGTTCGGGCACACGACTGAACAGACAGATGGCACGTTCTTGCTTACTATGGCTCGCGCGATCGGCAGATAGCGTATAGGCCAAAGGCTGAACTATTATATGTATTATTATACTAACTATAGTGCATGCTGATGCAGATCCTCGCTCTTACAGTGTTACAATACAACCGAAGAAGATCGATTGGGATCAAGTTCATATATTTATGGCAAAGGGCATTACCAAAAAATTAACATTGTAGCTGCAGCAGAGGGCTACAAGAAAAAGCAATAGAAATCTATCGTAGCTCTTTCCTTTCTAAACCTTGTAACCCAAAACAAAATTTACATTCAGAGGCAGAATAATATGGACCTGTCCTTACTTTCAATTTTTTCTTTCACTGAATTCCATTCTCTTTGTAACAACGGTCTCCAGGCCACGGACAGGTCAAGATAAGGTGTAGAGTTTTTCTTCGAGTAATTGCTTCAACGTATACATCTATATCCACGTTTATTCTTTTCTTTTTCGGTGACTATCTCTCCTAAACTGGCAACACTTTCTAATTCCAGAAAGCCAATTTGTATGCATGTTGTGACATCGGGAACGGGTACTACAATAAATTGTACGCTGCTTTTTGTCGACAGATGAGCAGGGGATCAGAGGTGGGAGTTGGGCTTAGAACCGGGAAAGAGCCGACACAGGAGGCGAGCGTTAACGCGACGATAACTCAGCCAGCGAGGAAATGTGCGCTCTGCCGTTTTTTGAAGTCGCTGTGCGCCTCTCACCGCTTCAAAAACTTGCAGGTAAACACCTGGACGAACAGAGTGAAAAGGCAATTGGAATAACGAAGCATCCTTTTTCGCCGTCGTTTTTCTTTTTGCCGGGGAAAATTCAACCTCCAACCTTGCGATGGAAATTCTCTCTCTCTCTCTCTCTCTCTCTCTCTCTCGCGAGTAAGAGAGAGAGAGAGAGAGTTGTCCGATCGTGTTATTGGAAGGAAAGCACAGCTGTATCGGACGTTGCAGAAAATCTGCACGTAAAACGCACATAAATTTACAAAAGTACAGCTTCTGATACGGAACACGCGCGAGGTGGACAGAGCTACGACTGGAATATTGGGTTGGCAACTAAGTGATTGCGGATTTTGTCAGTACCATCTAATGACAAAATTCGCAATTACTTAGTTGCCAAGCCAATATATTTTGGAAAATAGAAATTTACCTGAAAATTCGCGATTTATTTTGTTACAGACACAATGCTTATGTGTGTGTGTGTGTATCATATAATCAATTAGCCGTAGAAAATTACCAATTATCGCGGATATCGAAATTTCCTTTTCTTTTTCGTTCGCCGGAAACGGATGCTCGATCGAACGTTTCTAGAGCGTCCAGTCGACAGCGTCATTTTCGTCACTCGATCACTTAGTTGCCGACCCAATAGTAAGGAAACGATAGTAGGAGAGGGAAACACGAGACTGTAGGTAGCTGAATGTTAGGAAAATTAGGTATTACGGGGCTATAAGATTATGCTAAAGACAGGTGTAACGCGGTATCGATGTAATACGATTTGCGTGCTATTTCCACGACCATATCGATAGTCCGAGTAAGCGAAAGACGAATTACAGCAGAAAGAAGGAATCGGGGTATTTTCGTTGGTCGTCGGAACATTTTGAAGCATCCTGTACATCAAACATTTTTCCAATCTGCTAGATAAATAAAAGTGTAAAAAAAAAAAAAAAAGAAAAATACAACGAATAACAATGAACTACAATGGCTGCGTTAGTTGAAACCACTAGATCGAACGAATTTCGAACGTTCAAATAAAACAACCAACGAAACAGCTAAAAAAGTAAAAACAATTAGAAAATTGCTGGGACTGAGAAAATTGTCGGAGAAAATACAGGAAACAGAAGTAAAACGTTGCTCGCGATATAGAGACGATCGTGACAAGGTGTGGTTGTTTTCTGACTAAATTTCAACCACTATAGTAATGCTGCAGTCGCCTAAATAGGAAAACATGAAATCGCGCAACAAGTTTGCGCTGCCAGAGAATCTGAAACTGTACGGGGCTGTTCGCAGACAGTTGCGCAACTCCGGTGCTCGTTCCTCTTCCTTCCTGCCATTTCTCGAATCGAATCTGTGGCGAACGATCGAGTTGCCATAAATTCGCAACTCGAGTAGAATAGTCGTGAAAATGGCGAAAAGTTTGACGACGTGGTTTCACAGCCGCGAATTCAATTCACGACGATCATTGACGATTTCAATAGCGTTTGCTTCTTTCCTCCTATCGACGAAGCTGCAACGATGAAATTATCGATAGTTAAAATACACAGACGTGATATTACGTCGAAGGGTTTTACGCTTTGAAGCATTTTTCCATCGAAATAAAAAATAATTAAAATCCATAAAATTGCCATTGCACGATGATCATTCGGATTTTTAAGTCAGTGTCAGTGAGAAATAGTTCGCGTGCAATTGTTGCGAATCTTTGATTTTTCATTTTTTCGTTTTTAATTTCCAATTTCTAATTCTCGATAGCCACTGGAAATCGAATTAATTGACAATTATCACCTTCTAAATCGTATCTCGTTATTTCCGGAGAAAATTCGTCGATGAAACTATCGTCGACCAGAGTTTGAATATAGACACGCGACACTATGTTATTTCCCTTATGCTACGCTTCATAACGACTACAGTCAGTGCTATATTCTGATAGCATGGTATTTCTTAATTTTACTTTACCGACCGCTAGCGATTCAACAGCACACGCACGTCCGACCGGCATCTCAGGCGCGGATTCTCCTTGGCGCCGGCTCTGTTTCGGTTTATACTCTCCAATACCATTCTTTTCGTCCATCGCGAACGGACAGTTTTTCAAATTGCTATAAAACCGTGGCAGCTTACGAAGCAACGCGATTGACGCGACTGAGCAAGGTACCTTAGTACTAAATAGCAAATTACTGCTCGGATAATGAGAAAGATTGTCGATGACAAAAGCCGATTAATCAGCTATCGGTCGGTAAGCGTTAGCGAGAAATACCGATTAATCGGCTATCAGTCGGTAAGCGTCGGCGAGAAATACCGATCAACCGGCTATCGGTCGGTAAAGTGTTAATTTTCAGAACAGTCGTTCGTATTCCTATCGTTTCGTTATTTTTTGCTGTATCAACGGTGTTTCATCGAATTTTACTTTTTGTTTTTCTTAAAGTAACGCTATATGACGTTTTATTAAATACAACATTTATATAGAACAGAACAACTATTTTATATATAACATAATAACTCGAAGCATCAACGAACAGCGCTCTATTCTCTTGTACATCTGAAACAGCAATGAATTTGTTTTGTTGCACATCCATTCGTTCATTTTCTCCTCCTCCTATTTTCTAACATTTTCTATCTTTTTTTCTCTTTTCTATTTTCTTTTATTTAAAAGAACACCCGATAATAGAATCGTCAGTGGTTGGGACTTAACCCTTTGCACTCCCATGTCGAGTGTGACTCGACATAGGTTTTTATCTCGGCAGCTCCTTTGTCGAGTCTCGCTCGACATTCTTTCAGTCACCTTTTTTTGCGAAACGTGCGAAAGAAACGCAGGAACTCTGCTGCTGGAAATTGTTTCCAGATATATCATACACTTAAAGACTACAAAATTCAATAGAGCGAATAAAACTGCTATTTAAGTGAATTTCTTCCCTCCTTTGTTTATTTAAATTGTCTTATTCTTTAGTCGAAGTAAATTTCAAATAAAACACTCAAAAACGTTAGGTGCTGCTGGCAACGAAATTGAAATAAAATTCAGAGTGCAAAGGGTTAAGAATCGGATACAACACTGTACGATAGGAATTCTTTAAATTTTCAGCGCAACACCGCAACGTATTGGGTGGGTTGGCAACTAAGTGATTGCGGGTTTTGTCGTTGGATGGTATTGACAAAATCCGCAATCACTTAGTTGCCAACCCAATATTTCCCTGTTGCTTTTCGACCAACATTCGACGATGAAACGTTGCGCGATCGGTTTCTAAGCGTCACACAATTGGCAAAAAAATTAGCTCGCAAGCGAAACAGATGGCGGACGTCGAATCGATCGATTATCAACTGGTGACGTTTCAATTTTTCCATTTGTGGATCGAGGGGGGAATTAGTTCCAGCGGACCAGGATAATGGAAAATACGCGTAGCACGTCGTTGCAGATTATAAGCACCGATGATCACCGGTTCCGCGAATTACAAAATTGTTTATTCTCATGGATGGTCCTGCTCTTTCATGTTGCTGCTCGCGTTTGTAGCTCGTGGCTAAAAATCGCTGTTTGCCCGCCGGTGTTCACCGCCAGCACCGGATCAGATAATCCGGTTGAAATCGCTGCATTATGAAACATCCGCGTAATTCCTCTCTGCAAATATTGTCCGATGACTGTGAACCTCGTGTTACATTCTGTAACGCCGCTTTAGCTTCTGCTTCGTCACAGCACCACGAATCCGATTATGGTGCACACCTTTTCCTTGTATTCTTCTCTTCTTTGTATTCCAGCGGTCGATCAAAACGATAACTAGTTACCATGCAAGCTGATATTTATCGCGATTTAGGTTACGTCTCAGTGAAATTTGATCCGCGTCACGCAGCTACCTAGCCTTCTCCTTCGAAACTCGATTTCTGCCGCGTCTAAGTTACATTTCAAACATTGGGTCGGCAACTAAGTGCCACCTAATGACAAAATCCGCAATCGCTTAGTTGCCAACTCAATAGCTTTCGCTTACATCAACGAACGAAACATCGTTTTCGTTACACGTTAATAATTTATCAATAAAACGTTATTTACTCGATGTGCATTGAATTTAATCGACCTCTGACGTGGATCGTGAAAGAACGATTGCACATCTAAAGAAGTTGCGTTAGATCGAGTACTATGCGATGCTACTGCTGCAGTAGCACGTCGTGTCACTAGCATCTCGTCGATGCTATCGAATGTTCTCAATGTTACAAACGCGTTGATATTTCCTGTTTGTGAAAAGTGTGGAGAACGTAGCGTCACGCCGATGCTCGAACATTTTCAAAGTTTCTCGGACATGCAGCGTCGCGTGAACGCTACTCGGGTCAAACTGACCCGAAACCGTAACACACGTCCCTAGCAATCCGTTTCCTTCGGTTACGCCCGCTTAATCCGAGCTTGAGATCGCAGCTGATCCTCGAGGCTCGAGAGCTCTCGATCCTTGACGCGTACAGCTTACGTTTGACTAGAGCCAGCTTCCTGTTCCATAGTAAATCTTCGTTCTGTCGTGCGATAGAACTCCGACGGATAACACCGACGTGCAATTTCCACGCCAGCTTTCGAGAAAACCAAGCAACAAAGACAACTGGACACTGTTCTACTGTATATCTAATTTATTATAATATCAGGTTCCGCATAAATGGAAGGATCCCTACGATGCGGCATAAATTTGTCCGAAAACAAATTTAGAGATTGAAAGCTGATCTACATTTGGCCCATGTCGTATCACTTGGAACAGAGTTAGACGCTGTTTCGATTGCCAGAATAAGATCGAAGGTTTTCGCAGTCGAACATTATTAATACGAAGCTATTGGATTGGCAACTAAGCGATTGCGGATTTTGTCATTACCATCGAATGGTAATTAGATAATTAGATGGTAATGACAAAATCCGCAATCGCTTAGTTGTCAACCCAATATGTTCTTAGGGTACGATATACGGCAAATCAAGCAGAATTTTAATATACCGGGCAATTAATAAAATAACTGAATTCCTTTTGCACAATTACGTTAACGTGGTACTACGTTTGCCCGAGTTATACAAGTTCCCACGACTACTCGCGTAGTCTAGAACGATCGTTCGTTTGGTAAATCTTAGTTTAATTAAATTTGGTCACGTATTCTGGTAGAAATTAGCGCAGCCTTGGGCCTCGAGAAGAGTTTCACTTCGATGGACGATTAAATCAACGAAGAAGTCTGTGTTTTTCGTTAATCGAACACCAACAGCCCCGCAGCTATCTCCAGGTATCTTCTTCGACTTAGGAAACTTAGGCGTTAGCCGGCAAGCTCTGCGCAGCAGCTTCTCTTCCTCCTTTGATTCCTCGCGTAAACCATATCACCTTACGCGACAGATACAAACGTTCAGTACCACTGTATCGCGTGAAAGTCTCAGTAGCAACGATATTCCATTCTTTTTATATATTGGGTTGGCAACTGAGTGATTGCGGATTTTATCGTTAGATAGTAATGACAAAATCCGCAATCGCTTAATTGCCAACCCAATAAAACGTTGAAAAGAACGAACCAGGAAAAGATTAAAAAATTGCTGCGAATTGAACGGATTGGTTGTCTAGAACGAACGAATCGGACTGTCCATCGTGGCGATTTTCCATTCTCGTCGGAAGCTCGCTGACGGATAATTCAAAAAGCAGGAAAATTTTGCCGGAGACAAATAGAAGCTACTAGGTCTATTTTTTCTCTGAAACAATTGGAAGAATACTTTGAAATATCTTGATGAATTTTGTAGCGTGTCCTTTCGAACAATCGAAGCGATTTCGCGATTAAACAGTGTTTCTTCCGAGAACAAAGGCCACGGCGTTCGCTTGAAATCGCTTTCCAAGTAAATTTGTCCGAACCTATGGAACTGATTCGGGGAAACGCTAAAAACCGGACGAATGAAAGAAGAAATAAAATATGAAAAGCAATACCGCGGGATTAACGGCGAGGCAAGCGAATGAAACAAAGAAAATGGAAAAGGAGAAACGACAATGGCGCGGCGTTCCACTGGTTTATTTCGCCTTTCAATGGCCCGCCACCCAGCTTCTCCCACTCTCGATACTTCAGTGCTTCCTTTGATTTCACGCATCTCCGATTCAGCCAACGGTTCCAAGTAATTCTTTAATCCTGTCCGGCCTTTTTCTTTTTTGTCCAACTCCAGCCAGAATTCGATTCCATCTCGATCGAATAAATCGATCGTCTCGCGCTCCGATGCTTCGCAAGCTTTCGAACTCTCGCGAACGATCGTTCAACTGGCAACATTTTCCTGACCATCGAGGGACGCGCATCTTCGCGAGAAATATTTTTGCCAACGAACAGCTGAATTAGTTGCACATTTGACTGTCAACGTTGTTTTAGGAGATTCACTCGAAGCAACGTTTGTCGCAAACGCGGCGAAGTATCGCAACGCTTGCGGAGTAGACGTTGTCCGGAAAGCCCGTGCCGATTTTCCGTACGCGGTACAAGGACAGCTCGGAATATGCGAAAATTACTGAAAACGAGTGACACATGCAACTCGACTTTCAACTCACGACTCTTTCAACTCAAGACTACTCAACTCAAGACTACTCAAGTCAAGATTACTCAATCCATGACTACTCAACTCGACTCTCAACTCACGACTACTCAACTTACGACTACGAAACTCGACTCTCAACTCACGACTTGACTCCTGACAACTCGACTCTCCACTCACTACTCACAACTCATGACTCCATCACTTGTTTATGGTTCACGCGATATTCTTTAGGCCATTTGTCCACGATACTACGATACAATATGTAACATTAGCTATAGAAGATTATAAACAATCTTTGACAAATTTACGATAGAAAAGGTTGCTTCTAGTTCCTAAACTTTTCAGGAAGTAAATGTGTCAGGTAAATGTTTGAGAAACGTTGAAAGAAGATTACTCGTTCCTGTTTCTTTTTACTCTTTAGGTTGAAATGCTGTATCAACGCTACTTTCTCAGGATGAACCAAAGCAACATGACACACGTTCTCGGCTTACTAGCGGGGCTGGCGTTTGCCCTGGGTATGCTTCTGATGCTGAGACTCGTCGTGGAAGACAGCCAACAATTCCTTGCCACTTTAGAGAGGCCAGAAAACCTGTCGCTAGCAGTGACGCTGGTCGTCTGCGTCGCAATTTATGCTGGTAAGTATCAGAAAATTAAGAGACGAATCTTTAGCGCGAGAGATTCGCCAGCCGTGCGAGGACCTCTCCGGAAACAAAATCCAAACACACCGTGCAAAATCTCCGCGAGTATCGCGCAAATAAAATCTGGAAATTCAATTTGGTCAAATCTTACTGCCAAAAGTGTCGTTGTCCAAATATGATTCGCATTTCACATGGACCGTACGAAAATAGATTCCGCTGGTGCGAACGAAAGCGTGAAATCTCTGCAACCGTCGCCGCAGGACAGCAATTTTCCTCGAGACGAACGATCGAGCCTGAATTTTATCCGACGGATCAACGAGATCGTTTTCCGCGTTTTCGTTCGCTTTCGTTTCAGATTCTGTTGACCCACTTGCGCCGCCTGAACGTTAATTAAAATTTCCTCGGCAAACGTTTTGCCCGCGCGTAATGCGCGCATAGTTTCAGCAAAGAGACAACAAAACCAAAGAGGGTTGCGAGAGAAGGTGGGTGAGGAAAAGAGTAAAAAAATATCAGAACGCCATTGCGTCCTCTTACGACAGCGCGTACGTGCGTCGTAATAGTCGTACGAAGCGCGTGTGCAACGTCGCTGACATCAAAGGTCGAGCGGCGCGTCAGATTTTCAAAGCGGTTCTCCACGAGGAAGTTTTTTTCCATCCACTTTCGCAACCCTTCGTCTCTGAAAGCGGCTGTTCCCGCTCACAAAGTTCCAACGCCAGCGAAACGGCCACCGCTAACTTCGTCGGACTTCGACTTATCCGCGACACGTACTTGCACCTCATGCGGGAAAACCTCTTAGCAGTGAGCTGTTTCTGACGAGTATACTCGTCGCGTCGTCGTACTCGGTATATCAAACGGAACAGCTCTTGCAGAGATCTCTGCGTGGTAGACGACGACCCCATCGATCACGAGGAACATAGCGGCGACCAGTTACGAGGAAAATACCCTGCTACGTGTCCTGACAAAATCCTCGCAATCGTCTCAATCGCTCTGTATCTATCGGACCAGTTTAATCGCTGTGGCAACTAAGTGATTGCGGATTTTGTCATTAGGCGTTAGTGACAAAATCACTTAGTTGCCAACCCAATACAACGTCGAACTACGCTCGTGGTACGTTTTTCGGACTAAAAAACCGATTAATCGGCTATCGGTGGATAAGCGTCGGCAACAAAAACCGATTAATCGGCTATCGGTCGGTAAAGCGTTAAGAAGATAAGAATGAAATACAAAATACCGTGAGTCGTCCGTAGCGTTCAAATGTACCGGCAATTTTTCACAGAAGATCTAAACAACGCGACCGCGTGGCTTGCGACTGGAACGGTTAATTAAATCGTACTCAAGCGATTAAACGTTGCATACAGAGGGCACAGACTAACTGCCCTCTGGAGTTCCAGCGACTTGTCGAGTTTCCTTAAATTGCAGCCTTGGTAGCGGCGATATCCAGGCCTGGGATGAACGAAATCTGGTTAGCCGGCGTGAGTGGAATAGTCCTGGTGACTCTACTCGCGTTGCAAGTGGTTTTGAATGTACATCTGGCGCTCGGATCAAAGGAACATCGGAGCGGAGGCCCTTTGGCTGCAGTGTGGGCTGTGTGCTTCTTCATTTACATGGCGTACGCACTTCTGCCCATAAGGCTGCGACACGCGTGCATCGCTGGTTTCATTTTCTCGCTGGCGCATCTGATCGGAGCGTTCGTCCTCTACCCTTCGCAATATCCTGCCATGATGGAACACGTGAGTGACATTCTGTAGCCTTGTAAATCCCGTGCTGCGATTTTATTTCGCTGCTGTTTTACAGCAGCGCCTGGCTAACGCTTCTATCGGGCAAAAAGAATCGCGGCAAATTGAGACGCCATGTGGCGATCGGGTGGCGCGAAGGAACTCTCACGACCAGTTTTTGGCTCATGGCCCTATCGTTGCGTATTTTTGTCTCTTAGAAAGATCGCCAAACGAACGTTCACGTAATATAACGATATCCGTCGTGATATTAGGAAAATAACATTCCACTTTTATATCCCACATTTAATGGGAAAAATATCGCAACAAGTCGAAGCAGCGCAAAGTTTAATTTCTCCCATTTCTCCCTTAGGCTACTTAGGTAGTTTTTACAACCAACTTTCAACCCATTACAACGAAGATTAAAAGCTTTCGTAAAAGAACGATGACCCAGGTGCGCGAGGATTTTCCTCCGACCTTCTTCGTATAATATTTCCTCCTCGGTGTAATGTTCAGCATGTAAATTGCATACGTTAAGCAGACTTTTGAATTCCATCGAACACTTGCCGGCAAATGTTCATTCTCGCCGTTCGTCAGATATAACGAAATATAATAAATCGTCGCGTTAGATTTTCCGATTCTCTCGCAATATTCTTCGCTGTCGAATGAATTAGAGTGGAAGCGGATCGACGGACTCGGACTCGTTAGACCGCGGATTTTTACGCGGAGAGTTCGAAGGTTTTATAGGAAATTCGAAATCGTAACAATCGACGTGATATTTGCAAACGTACGAAACGCTCGAACACTAAAACTATAGGTTTTAACGCTTAACGATTGAAATAAGTTTCTCGCGAGATTCCATTTCTTTGATTACAGGAGAAAAGCTACGAATTTCCACGAACATAGTATTCGCGGTTCTACGCGATTCTCGACTTTGGTTGGCAACTAAGTGATCGAGGATTCTCTCGTTATATATATAATTTACTTTATTTATTTAATTTATATATATATAAAATTTGTAGTAGATTTCTTATTAACTCTTACCGTATTTAATTTCATTATTCCCAAAATAAGCTCGATTTTATAGAAGCGATCGTCCGATTTACCCCAAGGATTTACGTTATTACATATTTATATATATATATCGACAATCGATTCTGTAAAATCGAGCTTATTTTGGGAATAGTGAAATTAAATACAGCAAGAGTTAATAAGAAATCTAATACAAATTTTAGCTGGAAAATCGAGAATCCTAAATTACCGATCTTCTCTCGTGATCTAATCTATTCGGCACAACGACTGCCGGTAAAACAGAGCAAAAGTAAAAACATCGGTTGGCGGGTAGTTTGAATTCTATAGAATTTACACACACACACACACACACATATATATATATATATATATATATATATATATGAAAAAGTTGAGAAGCTTTCGAAGGCGAAACGAACGTTTAGATGTGTTTTCTTTATGGAAAAATGGCTCGGGTTTATGGGCAGATCTTGAAGCGAACATAGTAAATGGATTCAGTGTAGGGAACGTTACGATCACGACAGGCGTAAAGTTGGCAGAAATTTTTGGCCAAGTATCGACCCTTTGCTAGTTAATAATCTCTTATTAAATAAAGGAGGAAGGAAGACAGCGAGGGAATTATTTCGAGGAAGAAATTTAGTGAAATTTCATTTCGTTTAATTTGATTCAATTTCACGTTATCGAAAAATCCAAGCACTCGTTTACTAGACCTAATATTAGCATACCTGCCACTCTTTCTACTCGAGATACGCTTCTCTTGATTTGTCAAACTCGCGTTCAATCGTTGTAACATGGAACGTTTAGATTTTAACGCAACGTCGATAATACGAGGCAAAGTCTACTGAGAGTAAATTTTAAGACACAGAATGGATGGTTCCGGCGCTGTGATTTTTCTGTCTGATTAAATCACAAGAGAAAATAATGTTATTATCTACTCGCTTGGTAATTTTATATAACGAAGGAAAATTGCAACACCGCAATTCCAAGCTACCTGCACCGTAACAAAATCCCTGCTTCGTGTTATTTTTATTAATTAGACCAGAGTTTCACATATTTTTTTTTTTTTTTTTTTGCTTTTCATTATTATCCACAGTTTGAAATATAAAAGCTTATCAGCTTTGTTCGTTCCCCTTCTGTCGTAACTTTTAACTTCGCTCAAACAAACCGATATTCCAAACACGTTGCAATTTTACTTCGATTTCGAACGCGAATGAAAGAAACGTGAGAACGACGTTTCTATACATTTATTTATTTATCACATTGGCTTGCTTTTGCATTTCCTGCATTCGTTTCGAACTTACGGCCACTTCAAGTGGAACTTTCCACAAGTTTCTTTCCACACTGTACAATTTTCCCGCTCTTTGACCTTCTTCTTTGGATGATAAATTACGCCGAACTATGATAAATCGTGGTCATAGGCTTCTCGGTTCTAGCCACGAGTTTCTATCAAACAAAGAAGAAAAAGGAGCAAGTGAGTGAAAATACAGAAAGAGGTTCGATCGCGACGAAATATTTGTCGTTAGGTGAAGGTAGTTGTTCCGGCGATTGGAGTTGCCACGTAGTTTTCATCTGGAAACAGAATTATTGTATCGCTGACGTGGTTGGAAATCGCCTTTTCCTCGCCCTTTCCTTTCACACGTTCGCTGCAATTTGCCAAATTGTCGAGACTCTCGTTTTACGAAAAAGCCTTGGCAAATCTTTGAACGTTCGAGCTATTGCGCTTTCGTCGCCTTAAGCTCTGTCTCTGATGTGAATTTCACCCCCTTTTTGTCCCTTTTTCACAGGTTTTATCGCGATTGAATAAAACGATAGAAGAAATGGGCAAAAGGTAAATATATAGAATTTTTGGTATTTCGTATTTTCACATCTGTGCAATTCCTTTTATTTTCGGTGCTGTTAATTAGAAGCGAGTCCTCGGAGATGTTGAGAAATTTTTGAAATATTCGGGGAAAGTTGGAAGTATCGAAGCAGATAGAAAGGTTGGAATTTTCCGGGATATTGATGAAATTGGAAAGAAGAAAATTTGTGGAAATATCGCAGTGGCTGGAGATATTGAAACGTTGAATATCGATAAAATCGAAGACGTTGCAATTTTGTTAGCATCGAACGAAATCGCATACTGATATCTAGAAATATTAATAAAAATGGGTATATTAATAAAAATCAAGGTCAATGTGATTTTAGAAACATCGAGATATATTTCTGAAGAATTCTAAAGCTGGAAGCAATCAAATTCGTAATTGCTGTATCAGCCAGATATGTTAAAAGCTGGGGATATTATAAAATTCCCTAAATTGAATAATATAAAGTTATAAAAATTCTAGAAACATTGAAAAAATTAAATACCAATATCAATAAATATTTCTAAACTTGAAAGCAATAAAATTTGCAAATACTGTAGCAACCAGATATGTTAAAAGGAGGAAATATTACAAAATTACCAAATTTGATAATATAAAGTTACAAAAATTCTGGAAACATTGACAAAATTGAATACCAAAGTCAAGAAATATTTGTACAACTGGAAGCTGTAGACTTTCCAAATTGGATAATATAAAGTTATAAAAATTCTAGAAACATTGAAAAAATTCAATACCAATATCAAGAAATATTTCTAAAACTGAGAGCAATCAAATTTGCAATTGCTGTGGCAGCCAGATATGTTAAAAGCTGGGGATATTATAAAATTCCCTAAATTGAATAATATAAAGTTATAAAAATTCTAGAAACATTGAAAAAATTAAATACCAATATCAATAAATATTTCTAAACTTGAAAGCAATAAAATTTGCAAATACTGTGGCAACCAGATATATTAAAAGGAGGGAATATTATAAAATTCCCTAAATTGAATAATATAAAGTTATAAAAATTCTAGAAACATTGAAAAAATTAAATACCAATATCAAGAAATATTTCTAAAACTGGAAGCAATCAAATTTGCAATTGCTGTGGCAACCAGATATGTTAAAAGCTGGGGATATTATAAAATTCCCTAAATTGACACAATATAAAGTTATAAAAATTCTAGAAACATTGAAAAAATTAAATACCAAAATCAAGAAATATTACTAAAACCGAAAGCAATAAAATTTGCAAATACCGTGGCAGTCAGATATCTTAGAATTCCAGAATATTATATTATAAAATTGAAGATATTAAAAGTTGAGAACATACGTCTAATTAAGTACTCGTTTCATTCTCAGTACTTTCATCTACTTAAGTAAATGGGATAGGAGGACGTAGATGTTAATGGTCTTTCGCTAAAACCTGCACTGTTTAATAAAATGGATGAAAAATTGATCGAAGGTGAAGAATGATTTTCCGTGCGGTTAGAATTTAGTGTATTCGAATGGCAAGCCTCGGGCAATTTTCGAAATTGCCCGCTGCTCTCGGTCAATTAGCTTTCGCTCTCGTTGCTGAAATCCGCAAGCATACTGTATCGAAAATATCGATGCGAGGGAAGTTTGCGGAGGGCAAACTTTATTGGTAAAACCTAGGGAAACATTGATCTGGCCATTCTCAACCCCGTAAATTCCATCAGAATATGCGAAATTCCGTATCTGTTACGTTCCTTCCACTTTCCGTGTACAACCGACAAAAGAATTCGAATCTAAACTTGACACTTTACCGACCGCCAGCGATTCAACAGCATACGCACGTCCCACCGGCTGCTCAGACGCGGATTCTTCCTGGCTCTGGCTCTGTTTCGGTTTAGATTCTCCAATACCATTCTTTTCGTTCATCGCGAACGGGTAGTTTTTCAAATTGGTATAAAACTGTGGCAGCTTACAAAGCAACGCAACTGACGCGACTGAGCAAGGCACTTTAGTACTAAATAACAAATTACAAAATCAAACAGCCAAAAAATTCTACCAAATGTCCAAATCGGACAAATTGTGAATGTAAACAACTAATAAAAAAAAAAAAAAGAGCGGTTTAAACGAAGATACGGTAAAGAAGCGAAATAGATGGACGAGTGAATC